GGGACAATTAGTAGTGCTAAGCCACCTGAAGATCTCCTGAATGACTCCTACATTGGCAAGCTATAAGTTTAGTTTCTGTTACTCCTCAGAACCACAAATGTTTTTTCCCTGCTGTTTTTCCCATAGTTCACACAGTTATCCTTGCTACAGCTTTACAGTATTCTTAAAATTGCTTGTAAATGTAGACTTTTCTAATATGTAAAAGAAAAAAAAAAAAGAAAGGTGATGTAAACTGGAGATTTAATTTAATGGGTAATCTTGTTAGGTGATTTACCAGTAAAAAGTGCAGTGGGGTGCCCAAACTTGGAAGGTGCTGTTTTAAGGTTTGTCAGCCATTGTGATAGTTGATGGCTGAAACTGTCCTTCATTTTTATGTCTAAAGTCTTTCCATCCATTTTTCTTCAGAGCAGTACTGGAGCTTTGTTAGCGGCAGCTAGAATTCCAATAAGTCAGAGTCTTCGATGTTAAGAATAGAGTGGGAGTGGAATGCATTTATGCTGTAACAGAATAACATTTTCCTAAGAGAAATTGCAAGGGCTTGTTGAGACTTTCTTTAACACATTTCTGTCAGAAGCTATGGAAAGGCATTGTATTTGTGCTTCAATATGCTAAATAAGAGGTATTTTAGACTTAAGAATGTTATGTTTCACTTGATTAGCCTAATAGTTGCAACCTAGAGTTATATGATGCATTAGCTTTCAGTGCTGTATAATAGGACTGGCAGCATGGTGTCCCAAAAACTGAAATTGCGTGGGCTGCTGAACAGTCGTAGAGAAAGCTGCACAAAAATTTATTCTAGACAGAATTTTTTCATTTTGAAATGAATTTCACAACAAATTCACAGTTGGATGCCACTGCTTGTAGTTCCAGTGAATCATACTCCATAAAAGTAATACTTTGCTTCAACAAAGCCTGCCACAAACAGCGTAGTGATATAAATCAGAAACTGGATATTTTTTTAATTGTAATTTCTCAAAATATAGTACAGTTATTAACTATGCCTGCAGGTCCTGACATTCAGATACGTTTGGCTTTGTCTCCACATGTAAAAATGAAAATCCTTCACAAATAAGACACAAAGGGCTGAGGGGAAATACCCTTTTTACTTATGCTCTATTCAGGATAGGAAACCGACTCCCTGCCAGCAATGGTTGTCACGACACCTCATATTAAATACTATAGTAAGAGCAAACCTGTTACCCAGTTACCTTTAATTTCCAGCCTAAATTCACAGATGGTCAGTTCATTTATTCCTTTCTTTCTTGTGCCAGTATTGTTCTTCAGCGTAGCTACTTCTCCCTTCTCTCCCTGTCTGGTTCCACTTACTGGCATTTTTGGAGTGCAGTTGCATCTTCTTTCCATCTTTGGTTTGTTTAGCTTGCCACGACAAGGTATTTTAGACTGTTAGGTGCTGCAGTTAAGGCAACTACAGTTTCATGTACACAGACTGTCTCTAAACTGCGTAGATTTGCACAGTGTGTGCTGAATTACCTGCTCTTCAGTTGCAAAACCTCTCTAAGAAGCGGAGGAAATATTTGAGCTTCTGCTGAGCCCCCTCATCCTGCAGTCATAGCAGGACTGGGCCTGCTATGAAAGGTCAGGAACACCTAATTAGCGCTATTGGGATTGCAAGAAATAATCTCCTTTAAGCTCTCATTTCACCCATTTGTCCTTGTATGGATGCAAGATAAAATATGTCTGCTTATGTCCTTTCACTGAGGTTAAAGTTAACAATTTTATGGTACAGCTGGGATGGGCTAGCAATATGCAATACTAAACTACTGTCACTTCATTTTTACTATAGGTTCTATCTCAATTACATCTAGTCAATTCATTCTGAATTCCTCACTTAGAAAATGGTCATTTATTTCTTCTGTCTTAGCTGTGCACCACCAGACAGTGGTATTTAACACCTGGTGTTAATGTTGCTGTCGTTAGTATTTCATGCTTGTAGAATTAACAGTGCCTGGTTAAGGTCACTCAGTGACTGACTAAGAAATATGTTGTCGAGGGTTTCCACAGACATGGTTGATAGGCAACTTCTACTGACACAGTCAAAAGTTGTTTAATTTGGGTGCTCTCAGCAACAGCAGTCAGAAATAGCATCTCCTATCCTGAGCCAAGTCACATGAATGTGTGAGAAGAGGCATGCTACCTCAGCAGCTTAGGAGGGATGGGTGGGAAATGAGGATTCTTCCTTGGAACCACCTCAACCACCTCACCCTCTTACACAAGCCACCTGCTTCGGTCTCTCTATGCATTCCAGCTTTTCACTCGCCTCGTTGGTAACACTTCCCAGCTCAGCCAGCCGGCCTCCTCTCCCCAGGGCACACACCTTCCCTCTGTGTTTGACATAGCAGCCCCCTGGCTGTACTTCCCAGCTGTCCCAGGGTTTGAGTGGGATGCTTCGTTAGAGAACAATCAGCTGGGGCAAAGGAATGCTGCTTAGTTCATGAGTGAAATTTGGTTGACTAATGAACATGCTGTGGTGGTGCTCAGGTATCCAGAGAGAAGAGGCACCGTCAAAGCCTTAATCTTGCGTAGCGTTTGTGCAAAAGTAAAAACACACAGTTTCCACATGAAAGGTCCTGCTGTCACAAGGTGAGGCTGGTAGGCAGCCAAAAGCCGAATACCGCATATGTTTGCAGACCAAAATCAACGCTTTGCACCCTGAGGTTAACTGCAGACCAGCTCCCAGATTTGCCACGTACCTCTTGATGGGATTTGCGAACCACCGTTTGGTGCTTGCTCAAGTTGCTTGGGGGACATGATGCAAATTTTCTTCTCTGTGATATGAAGCCTGCAGAGAATTTAAACTGGGGCAGAGTGAAGTAGAAGGAGGAAAACAGTAGAAGAGGAAAAAGGAAGGGGGTGTTGCATTTCCACATATACCTGTGATCTTTTGGTGTGGTTCAAGTGCTGGTGTGTAGCATTCTTTCTTTGTTTTGCAGGCTACAGGTAAGGAGAAAAATACTCTGCTTCATAAAATTTCTGGTATTGCTCTATTCCTCCCTCCCTTCCTTCCTTGTTGCAGAAAAATCAACAAGATAAGAAATAATAAGCTTCCAACCTAGTATACTGTGCTGTTTGAGTTGTTGTGGGTTTTTTGTGACAAATTTTTCAAGGAAAAGAATAAAGATAGTGAGAAAAGGCATTAGAGATGTTTTGGAATGTGTGGGGAAACTCTTGTGTTTTTTCTTTACCTTTTTCAGTAATTGACATCCCTTCCACAATGAAAATAGAACATTCCTTCTAAAAAGGTCCTGATTCTTTTGTACGTTCAGAAACCAACCTGTTTTTTAGCTAGAGTGGTAACATCTTTGACGTTTGCCCTCTTCGCCATGAACTTTTGAAACAGAGACTGTCTTGATACGTGGGCCTGGGTGCAGAGCTCAGCTGCCTCCAGGTTGCACGTTGGAACAAGAGTCACTGTTCAGCATCCCTCGCTCCGCTTTTCCCCGAGTACCCTCACTTTCCACCCGCGATGCCTCCTGCCAAGCACCCTCCCATCTGAACTCCAGGCTGCACCGTGCAGGTGGCAGGCAGTGAATGCGCGTGTACCTCGTGCAAGGAGGGTCCTGTCGTCCGTTTGTCCTGCTCTTACAAAATGTTTGTCCATAGTTGTCTAAGTGAGAAAGAACATGCATCTCCTTTTTAGATTTTGAGGTGAGTTGTGGGACCAGTGGTTAAAAGAATGAGCACAACCGAAATGGCAGTTGAGACACGGCTCTGTTCTCCCATAGAATAACTCATTTTGATGGTCTCGGGTAACTCCTTTTAAAGCTGTTTTTTGGTAGTGGGATTAAGTTGCTGCATTGGGGTTATCTGAAGGGAAAGGTGGAGCAAGTAAGATGAACTGATTAAAGGTTTACTTTGTAATTTTTATAACAGCAGCCTTAATCACACTGTGATCTCTGAGCTGTGTGGTCTCACCAGTCTCCGTCCACGATTCTGATCTTTCTCTGTCGATTAAATGTACTGAAGGGAGCGATGGGCTCACTGCACTTTCTCTGATTCATGCTAGGGTAATTGAAATCTAAAGTTGAGGTCACATGAATTGATAACCCTCTTTCATTGCTTTCTGTTGCACTTCCAGTGTGTATTTTAAAAACCAATGTGGATTTTAACGAGTTAAATGTTTTCTTATTTGCGTTTGCCTACAAAGTGAAGTGCCCAGAAAAGCAAATGGGGCGATTTTAGATTTTTCCCTAATTTAGATCTTACACAATGTGAGTCCAGGTCTGCAAAGTCACTCCAGAATTACAGCAGTGTAGGGGACTAAGAGGCTGTCCTAACTGAAGCATACCTGACTGAATGTCCTTCCATTTAGAATTTCCTTTTCAGTATAAATTGACAAGCATTTCATATGCTTGGGGAATAAAATGCTTGTTTGACTTCTCCACCCTCCCCAAAAGGAAATTTCTACTAAGGCATGACATCTCCTATAAACTGCCATGAGTAATATCT